GCTGCGGTTGGCGGCGGTTGGTCGGCTCTGTTCGAGCCTTGCTGGGAGCGATGCCGCCTCAGAGCGGCGCCCCGATGCCGGCGCGTTGAGGGGCAAGAGAGGGCTGCTGCGGCTGCTTCGCCTCGCCTTTGCCTTTCCTCCGCAGCCCGGTCCTTCAGGGACACCGGGGAGCCCTTGGTCGGCCGCGACACCCATCGCGGGCATCCCAAAGAGCGGAGGAGGAGGAGGCATCCAGCCGCCGCGGGCGGTTTCGGAGACTTCGGGGCCCGCCGGGGCGACACCGGCGATGGATGCTCAGCCAGCGAGCACGGGCCGTCTAACCCCCCCTCGCCGCGGCCAAGCCTAGCGCCAGGCGGGAGATTCCTCTCCCCCTCCCCTCCCCACCTTCTCTACGGCCCGGCCTCCGCCTCCCTCCCTCCATGAGCGGGGAAGGGGAAAAAGTTGGGCGCCGTTTCTTCTTCGCGGAGGAGGAGGAGCCACCGAAGTCGGGAAGCGACTGAGGAAACCACCGGCGGACGATTTCAAAGCCGTTCCGGATTGGCGTCCCTGCGGGGCCGGCCGGCGAATCTGGCCCGGGGCCAAGCGGCGACGGCGGGGATGCCTCCCCTCCCGAGAGGGCGGCGCGGGGATCGGAGCCGGCGCTGCTGAACGTTCCCGCGGGTCGCCCTGCGTGGGTCTCCTCCTCCTCCTCCCGCGCCTGGGTGGAGCCTCCCCTTCGCCGGCGGGAGGAGGCGCGAATGCTCGGCTTTCCCCCCAAACAGCCGGCTGACTATCGGCGGGAGGAGCCGGGCGGGGAAGCCACGAGGATGCCGCTGGGGGCCGGCCGGAGCTGGGGGTGAGTCCGGGCAGGGGGCCGGCCCGACGTGCATGGCAGGAGGGAGGGCCGCGCGGCTGGGGAGACGTCGGGTGGGGCGGCAGGCGGCACGCCTCGACCCCCTGGCGCTGAGCGAGCAGCTCCGGCTCTTCCTTCCTCCAGAAATGCTGCATCATGAACCCGACGACGACCCGGGGCTGAGCCCGAAGCGGCCGGAGAGCGGCTCCCCCGGGGCCCGTTAGCAGCCCCGAGGCGGAAAGGGAGGAAAAGCCGGAGGGAGACCCTCCTCCCGACCCCCTGCCCTGTCAATCCGGCCCGGGTTGAGCCCCCCCTCCCCTCCGCAGGACGGCGATGCTTCGGCTGTAGAGTCCGGGCAGGGCGGGGAATTCCGGTCCCGCGAAGAGACGCCTAGTGCCTGCAAAGCGGAGGGAGGAGGGGAAGAGGAGGAGGAGGAGGAGGACTGGCCCCTCCCCGCCCCGTCCCTCCGAGCATCTCGTCCGACAACTCTTCAACTTCTCGGCCAGTCGACGGAGCCGCTTCTCCGGGCCGGCGGCGAGAACTTCTGCCCAGGCGGCCCGTCGGTGCTCTTGGCTGGGTCCGCTTTCTCCGCAGCGACTGAAAACAAACGGGAGCCGACGTGCGTCAAGCTAACCAGCCGCGGGAGTTGCCGAGCAACGGGACGCCCGGAAAGCCTGAGCCGGGGATCAAAGCGGAGGGGCTGCCGTCGGCTTCGGAAGGGTCGGACGCTCCCGCCGCTGTCGGCCGTCCGCCTCGCCCGGGGCGCCTGGTGCTGCGTGGCGGCCGGAGGGTGCCCCCTTGGCCGGCTCTCGCGGAGCTCCCCATGCTGCTGTTGCCGCGGAAGTGGCCGGGCTGGCCGGCGTCGGCGCTGCGGCTGCCGCAGAAGTTCTTGTTCCTGCTCTTCCTCTCGGGCCTGCTCACGCTCTGCTTCGGCGCCCTCTTCTTGCTGCCTGACTCCTCCCGCGTCAAGCGCCTCTTCCTGACCCGCCACGGCGGAGCCGAGCTGGAAGCGCCCCGCAGCCCTCCGCCGGGACCCGGCCCGGCCCGCCACCTGCCCGCCAACGCCAGCCCGCCCGCGGCACCGCCGCCGCTGCCCTCGCGCCACCTCCGGGACCCTGCCGACCTCCCGCCCGACGCCTCGCACTCGGAGCCGGCCTCCCGACGGACCCGACCGCCGCGCCTCCCGCCCGCCGAGCAGAGCGCCTCGGCGCCCCCCTTGCAGCAGACGAGCGCCCCGTTCCTCTTCGACTACGCCGCGTTCCGGCAGCGCCTCCGCCACCCGGTGCTGGGCGGCGAGAGAGGCGGCACCGAGGAGCCCGACACCCGCGCCCGCCGGCTGAAGATCAAGGAGGTGAGTCGTTACCGGCCCGGCCCTTCGCTCTCCCTTCCCGGGGCCCGGCTTCCTTCGGCGTCCGTCCGCCGCTGGCCCCCACCCCGCAGCGCCTCTTTCGGGTTGGCGAGCGTGATTTCGGGGGAGCCGGCACGTTGGTTCGCGGAGCAGAACCCACGCTTCAAGCCAAGCCAATCCATCAGAATAGAGCTGGAGGGGACCTTGGAGGTCTTCTAGTCCAACCCCCTGCTCAAGCAGGAGACCCTAGACCGTTTCAGACCAGTGGCTGTCTAATTCCGTCTTAAAAGCGATGAAGCCGCCTTAACTTCTGGAGGCAAAAGTTCCCCTGGTTAATTCTCCTCACTGTTAGGAGTTTCTCCTTAATTCCAGGTTGCTTCTGTCTTTGGTTAGTTTCCATCGTTTCTTGTCTTGACTTCGGGTGCTTTGGCAAAGAAATTGACCCCCTTTTCTTTGTGGCACTTGCTCTCCAATACTAGAATACTGCTCTTATGTCACCTTTAGTCCCTCTTTTCTCTAGACCAGCCATACCCAGTTCCTGCAACAGTTCTTTCATATGTTTTAGTCTCCAGGCCTTTAATCACCACTGGCTGCACATCACACCTCTGTGTGGGCGTTTTGTGTGTGTGTGTGAGTGAGTGAGTGCAGGAATGCCTCTAAAGGGATTTGGTTCGCCAGACTTCCCTTCCACGCACATTTATTTGTGTTCCTAAATGAGTTTTTTTCACCAATGTGGAAATCTCAGTTTTAAGGCATTAAAAACCTGGCCTGGGATTGAATCAGCTGCTACAATTATTCTCGTCCAGGGGTTTGTGAAACCGTTCCCTTTGCTCTTTTCTGTGGGTTCTGCCGTGATAGTGTCTCGATCTTTAAATAAGTTCACAATTAATTTGGAAGAAGGGCCGCTTCTGATAGGGTTGGCTTATCAAAATGTATTCTGCTGCAAATCCATCTGTGCTTGCTTAATTGATTTTTTGTTGTGGTGGTGGTTCTTTGGGTAAGAAACTAAAAGGTGATGGGAAGAGTGTTGCAAGTATAGATGGTGAAATAAGTCTCCATAGAATTCTCTTAAAAAAAGGATAGGACACGGTTTCTTTGAAAGTCAAGTTGCTTTAAAAGACTTGCCCAAAAGCTTCCTGATCTATTTCCCACCCCCCCCAAATGCTTTTATGCAATAGTTTTTTTTCTGCCTCCTAAGTAAAAGTGGAAGTTATATAGTGTGCAATTGAGAGTAAGTATGCACATTGGGATTTTAGTAATTAATGTGTGTGATGCAGGCTAAATATATCCTTATGGTATTTGGTTAGGCACCTTAATTGTTTCCACATGCAATCTATGGTTGTGGATACTTAGTGAATCCTTTCCCCTGTATTCCCAAAGGCAAGTTGTATTGAGCGTGCAATTTAGAGTTCTCACCTGCAATTGTTGAAGCTTTGAAGGGGTTGGTAAAGTGCTTCTGAATACGTCAGTTTTATTGCTCCCTGCAAATATTACATATTTTTTACAAGACTTTCCACTGGCAAAAGATTACGACTTGCTGAAGGCTCAGATGATGATTAGTATTTCTTTTAGCAATAAAGTATTTTTTTAAAAAATTAACGTATATACTTTTTTTTAAAGCCTAATGCTATTGGCATACTGAATAGATGGCAGTATAGGATAAATATAACTTTTATATGCACTGGGAAACCCACAAAAGTTGTTAGACTTGCTTTATTGCGCTATTTGCTTCATTGTGGTTGGGAACCAAACCCACAATACCTGTTGTCATTCTTCCATATTGTGCTTGCCTTTATTAATAGGCTTTGCCCATCATTCCTCCACTTACAACCGTTCATTCAGTGAATGTTCGAAGTTACAGCACTAACCGAGAAAACTGACTTATGGGCCATTTTTCTCGAGGTGCAGCGTCCTCTTGGTGAAGGGATCAAAATTTGTACGCTTGACAACCGGCTCACATTTATGACAGCTGCATTGTCCTGGGGGTCAGTGATCACTTTTTGTGACCTTCTGACAACCGAAGACAATGGGGAAACCGAAGTAACAACCGTGTTACTTACATAACAACTGCAGCGATTTACTTAACTGTCTTACTTAGCGTGGAAATTTGGGGTTAAATTGCAGGTTTTTGTTTTTTTGTTTTTAAAATAAATTTTATTGAATAAACATTAAAAACAATTGAACACAGCGCGACTATTTTGGCCATACAAGTTATAGTATAGAGATACACATAACAGTTAATGTCCTTTTTCCCTTATGTTATTAGTATAGTGCTAACTGCATATTATTTCTGTTTGCATTTATGTACATTCATATACAATTATATACATATTTACAACTATCTTTTATACTCATGGATTTTTTTTCCTGCCTCTTTTTTTATATCCGTCACCATCTATTGATTTCTTGCTCTTTGATCCCTTCTCACCTACTTCAAGTCAGTCCTGATTCTTTGTGACTACGTGGGACAAGTCCCAGCAGTTCTCTTGACAACGTTTTTCAGCTGTTTGTTGCCTTGGTAGGAAGATTGAGAGAGAGGGGCTGACCCAAAGTGACCCAGCTGGTTTCAGGCTATATGGTAGCAGGACTACAGGATAATTGGTGGTCTCCTTGTCTCTAATTTACTGCTTTTAACCCCTGCACCAAAGAGGCTCTTTTTCATTGATTAACTCTAGTTTTCTAGTCCTTTCCATGCCTTCTTTATTCTTTAATCTTTGGTTTTTCGTGCACAAACAACAGCTTTCTAAAGATTTGAAGGTGATACAATAGAACAGGAATATGCAGTCTGATGCCTTTCAGATATTTAGGACCAAAAGCACCATTAAGATCCCGAGCAGGCATAGTTTGTGGCAGTTGTTCTCCCACACTTTATGCATCTTGTAATAATCCTACTGTTTCTTCCTCTGCATCTCCTTTTCTGGTGAAAAAAAGTGACTATTTTTTTTGAAACAGTACTGAAAATTCAAAACTTATTTGACCAGAAAGTAAACTGGAACAGGATGCAACATTTGCATTCTGCAGGTTGGCTCTCTTGCCCTGAAGTAAAGAGACAGCTGTAGCATCGCTATAACTGCCTTTCCTTCTTTTGATTTATACTTGTGCATTACAAGATTTGTTTCTGGTAACTGTTGCCTATGTTTCCTTCTTTCCCTTCACTTTCTGGCTTTTCAAATAGCCTTCTTCTGTATCTGAACTTTATTTTTTTACCAGCCGTTCTGCCATGGCTATGTTTCTATTCCTCTCTTTTCGCGAGCTATCCCATTCACAGCCCTTCAACATTTCTCCCGTTTTCTGTAGAGCAGACCTAAAAGAATTCAAACAAGCTATTAAGTGGATGAAATAAGGCAGAATAGCTGCAGAAAGTAACCTCCGGTGGGACAGTAGAGAAAAAACATTGCAGAGGTTGAAATTTCACTGGAGAGGCAATGGAGATATGATTGAGACCCAGGAAACTGGATTTGAATACAAGGATTAAAATTGATAGAGCAAAAATCCTGAATGGTCATTGACATTCAGATTGGATTGCACCCAGCTTGACATATGGGATACCTGAATTCTCTGCCCCCCCCCTTTCCCCCCACCAACTGATCTCTTTTCTCCAATTAATTCCTACTCCCTTTGCAACATGCTGTTAGTATGACCTTCATGAAAAAAAGGACAACCAAGTTATAGGTTTGACCCCTTTAGTTGGAGGTGAGTGGATTATTAATCTAGAGCTGTTTGTAGCCTTCCGAGAGCAGAGTGGTCTGCCAAGAAAATGCATTGACTCAGGCTGGTGAATTGAGGCAGATGAATTTATTTCTATTTTACAAACTGGTGTTTCTCCATCTCAGCAACTTTCTAACCTGTAGTGCACACTTCTGAAAGTTGCCACAGTCAAGATGCACTAGATTTTTTTTTTCCAGTACAGTGCATGGGCTGTGAAATCCAGAATTTTCAGCCAATTCTCTGGCTCTTCTGGGACATGACCAAACAGGGGGGGAAACTTGTAGGGAAAAGCAACTTAAAGTTACTAGTCCCTCTAAAGGACAGGTACACTTTTCTGCTGGTGCTATGACAACCAGGAGGAACCTGTACAGGTAGCAAAAAATGGTTCCACAGGTTTTTCTCAAATATAAATGTCATTTTGCCATCAACATTATTATTATATGGATAATCTACAATTCAATACAAGCAGTGTTTGTTGCTGCTATTGTAAAATTAGGGTGTTCAATACATTTAAAATGTCTAAATATCGAAGGAGTCCTGTTAAGTATTGCTCTGAAATGGAGGTGGCATTCAGCAGGCTCTGACCAGTTCTGGAGAACCCGTAGTGGAAATTTTGAGTAGTTTGGAGAACCGGCAAATCCCACCTCTGACTGGCCCCGCCAACCCCATCTCTTCTCTGCCTCCCATTGAGTACCAGCTGATTGGCTGGGTCTTCTTTGGTTGCCCTGCACAGGAGAACAGAGCTGGAAATCATAGTAAAAATTTTCGAATCCCACCACTGCTCTGAAAGCTCCAATCATGATTGGTGCAACAGCAGATTTCCCCCCCTATAAGTGTTCAACTTTGATCTGCAAGTCCCGGTGCCATCGTCAGCCATTCAGTCCCGGCCAGCCCTTGACCACACTCTACCGATCAGCACTTTCCATACCCCTCTGTCTCGCATTGCCTCCTTCCTGGTCCTTTCAGGAAATGACCCCCTGGTCATTTCAGTGTCATCTTTTGTAGCAGGGGTGTCAAACTCGATTTCATTGAGGGCTGCATCAGGGTTGTGTTTGACCTGGGGGGGGGTGTCAGGTGGGCATAGCCAGGGTTGGCATGGCCAACTTGAGGTGACTCTGTTTTGGGCTATGACAGCCTCCTCCAGCCTTCTGCCAGCGAAAACGGAGCCCAGGAGGGCCGCATGCAACCTCCCGGACTCGGATTTCGCTGGCAGAGGCGCTGTGAGCCAGTCCTTGGCTGATTCTTCCATGGCAGCCCCAGATCCAAGCACCCTGCGGGCTGGATCCAGCCCATGG